TCTGGGGCAGTCTTGTGCTGACTAATAGGACACAGACATGATGGTATACCAGTGCCAGGTCGAGTTTTTAAGATGACTGGGAGCTTCTACTTCTTCCCTCTTGGAACACTTTGGGGGACCCAGAGATGGCCCTGAAGAGACATGGGGAAAGGCCATGGGGAAGAGGGGAGGCTCAGAGACTGGAAGAGTCGGGAGTGGCCCAGATGGCCTGGTTTGGGGGTGACACTCAAGGCTCCAGAGGACCCAGACTAGTCACCATTTGAGTGCACTTGCATGAAACATCCCCAGGCAAGACCAGCGGAACTGCTCGCTGAGCCCAGGGAGCCCACAGAACTGTGAGAGGCAATAAAATGGGGGCGGGTGGTTTTATGCAGCAACACCCACCCGAGACATGACCTCTACTGGGACTGAGCTCAAAGCCTTTTCCCTCTCCACAGTGCCCCTGCATGGACCCTGGGATTCCCCCACAGAACTCTTCCAGATGCTGATTAAATCAGAGTATCTGGGAATGAAGCCTCAGAGTAGGTATTTTTTAAATCCTGCAGGATTTGTGAAACATGGCACCATCCACCACTTCCAAAACTTGCCTAGAGACAAGAAGGGCCTGGCACACTTATTTAAAAAACAGATTCCTGAGCTCCAACAGATACACTGGTTCAGAATTTCCATGGGAGGGCCCTGGTAAGTTGCAGAGTTAACGTGTTCCCCCAGGTAAATTTTACTATCAACTTTAAGAGAAAAAGGGAGAGAGAGGAGCCAACTCCAGGCAGTTTCTTGTTGAGTTAAATGTGACACCAAACAACACAGCTATCCCCCTCTTGGGTGTCCCCAGCAGAAATGAGTACTTAAGTCTCCCAAAAGGCACGCATGAGGATGTCCCTAAAAGCTTTCTTCATAATGTCCCAAACCGGAAACCTCCCCAGTGGCCATCCAGGGGAGCATGGCTAGATGGACCGTAGCAGAGCCACGCAACGGACTACAGGGTAGCGGCGAAAAAGCATGGAGTGCTGACAGACACCACAACACCACAACACAGGTGCATCTCCCAGACCTACTGCTAAGTGTGAAAAGCCAGACACAGACAGTGCAGGTGCTATCTGTATTCAGTTCAAGGTCAGACCAGACTGACCCGTGGTGATAGGGATCCAATAGTGGGTACCTCTGTGTTTGTGTCTATGTGTGGGAGGGAAGTTCTAGAGCTGCTCCCTCCTAGGATACCATGCACACAGCAGGACGTATCTGCCTTTGGGGCCTACTCGAGAGGACTTTGCTTCCTTGCTCCTTTGGTTCTTGCTTATTTGAGATATACATTACACATTGAGATGTATACAATAAAGTGAGCAAATCTTAAGTGTACAGCCCAGTGAATGTTTACACATTTTCATTGAGTTATTTGGCCTTGTGCAAAGTGTTCTTCCAGGCTCCTGGAAATGGAAGCCAAGGCTACTTAAGACACACATCCTGTTTGTGAGAGTTTTATAATCTGGGGTGGGATATATGACAATACAAGACAGCAGAGTAAGTTTTCATTCATTCACTCAGCATGTGTTTTGTGAGCACGTACTATGTGCCAGGCACTGAAGTCAGCCCAGGAAATGCAACAGTGACCAAGATCCGCCCCTGCCCTCATCGTGCTCAGAGTCTACTTGTTGAGTTTTGGAGCATAGCACAATGAACGGTTAAATACACTTATTCCAATTCTTAAATATTTCCTGAATTCGTTCTGATCTTCTCCCACGGACCCTGGCCTAGTTCAGGCCCCTACTGTCTCTATTCTCTGGGCTTATAGTAGTTTTCTGGCCCGCTGTGTTTCCAGTCTTCCACCTCTGACTCATTCTCCAGGCCAACAGCCCCTATTTAAGTGCTCACTCTAAAAATTTCAGTTAATGGTTCCCCGTGTTAATGGTGTCAACCTGTGTGGGCTTGAATCCTCATTGAGAGGGTCTATATTATGACCACAGCCACATTCTTTAAGGGCCCTGAGCCTCATGTGTGCTTTCTGTAAAATGGAGATAAAATAGTAGTAACAATGAACAAAACACCACCACCACCACCGCCTATCTCCCTGAGGAGGATGAGCTTTAATCTGTCATAACAAGGTATTCGTAGAGCAGGTGCTGAACCTTCATTGCACTGCTTGTTTCTCCTGCTTCTCTGCACGACCCAGTAATGTCGAGGTGCTTCTATGCATGGACACACCCTTTGCTTTCAAGGCCCTGAGCTCACAGTGCTTCTTCTGTCTGGAATGCCTTCCCTCTCCCTTCTCCTGGCTGGGTCCTAACGCAGCTCGGGACTCAGCCCAGGCACTACCTCTTCCAAGTAGCCCTCCCATAAGCAGCATATGGAGCTGAGTGCCCTTGTCTGGACCCCCATGACACCCTGGATTGAATTTGTCTGTTTGCCTCCTGTTTCTATTTGTCTCCACTTGCTCAAGTGTGAGCTCCTTCCCGGCAGGCCTGAATCAAAGGCTTCTTTATGCCCCCAGCTGCGGACCCTTCCTGCTCAAGGCAGATGCTGGATGTGTCCACGGACTTGAGCAGAACATGCCAAGTGCTTTCTCAAGGCAAGCGGCCTTTGATTTGGCCTTGAGGCATGGATAGGACTTTAAAAACTTATTTGTAAACAAAGTGTACATGCACACAATACCAAATGCAAGAGGAACAAAAAGGCTTACAGTGATAATTAAAAGTAGGTCACCTCTCAACCACCCAGCACCCCTCCCCAGAGGCCATCATTGGTATCAGTTTCTGAGTACTCTGTGCAGGCAAGAATGGTCTCTCTCCTCCCCTACACACACACTTTTTTTATTTCACAAAAATTTAAACCAACAGAAAAGTTATAAGAATAGTGCGATAAACACTCTTTGCCTAGATTCACCAATTAACATTTGGCCACATCATGCAAAATATTTCACAAGCATTATATCATGTAATGCTCACAACAACCATATAATCATGCCAATTTTGTAGATGAGGTAACTGAGGCAGCAGGCAGGTGAAGGGACTTGCCCAAGGCCACAGAGCTATAGCAGGGGTGGAGCTGGGCTTCCCCCTTAGGCTGCCACAGGACTTTGATCCACTTTCCTTCCGCTTGCTTTGGAGGAAAGCATTTTGTCACACTCAGTTGAAATCCACCTCCCTGGGATATTCACCAGATGATCAGTGGAAAAGTACACAGCCCTGGAAGCATTTGCTACTTCTCCTAAAACCTTCCCATTCCCTAAGCAACAGCTGCTGTCGCTGCTGCTAACACATGCTTCAGTGTCACCTCCTCTGCAAGGGCTGGGTTAGCTCACTCCACTGTTTAAAAACTCCCGTGGTCTACTCCTGGCTGCCAGCAGAATGACATTTACACTCCTGAGCTTGGAATCCAAGGCCCTGGGTGATCTGGCCCCATGAATCCCTTTGGCCTCATCCTTCCTGCTCCTTCTTCCTCTAACCTCCACCTCCAGCCGCTCTCAACCTCTCACCATCTGCTTAAGTTTCCCCTCCTCCTCGAAGCCACCCCTAATTTCCCCAAAGAGTGCATTTCTCCCTTTCTGGGCTCCTGAATCTTCTGCCTGTATCTCTTTTTCAGTCTTCTCCAGTTGGTTTTTTGGTCATGAGACTGGACGGCGGAGGATTGGAGTGACAGTTCGGCCCCTCCTGCACAAATTACTTCAGGAGTCTGAGCCTTAATTTCCTCCAACACATAATGGGGGAAAGAATGCCTACCTCAGTACCTGGCATACAGTCAGCCTTCACTGATCTCCCATAATAGAAATGACAGCTCTTCAAGGCTGACATCCTTTAGTCATCCCTTGAAACTCTACCTCTTATTTCTTAACTTCTCTGAGCCTCAGTTTCCTCATATGTAAAATGGGGATGATGATGGAGAGGCTGTGAAACTTTAATGAGCTAATGAATATCACGCACTGGAAACAGTATCTAGTCCGTATTAATAGTGCTATGACCACTACCTCGCGGGGGGTGGGGGCGGGACTGGCACACAGTAGGTGCTAAGTGAATCCGCTCAGAGATGGGTGTCGGGAAAGGGTGCGGGAAGGCGAGGTTGGAAGTGAGAGGTTTGTAGAGCCAGCCGGGAGGTCGGCTCCGCCCCTTCCCCCAAGGGCCCCCGCCCCAGCCCCTGCAGCTGTCAGGACACAGCTAGTTTCGGCGCCAGTCCACCAAACCTGAACATCCCATCCCGGCGCCCCCACCTTCCTTCGCCTACACAAGTTACCTTGAGCCCGGCTGCCCTTTGTCCCCGCCCCCGATTTCCATTGGCCAAAGGTTTTCTTTGTTAGCTGGAGCGCGCCCCTCCCATTGGCCGGCAGGGCTGCCGATCGCGTGGAAGGCGCGGCCCCGCCCGGCGCGCTGCCCCTATCGCTCCCTC